GAATTGCCTCAAATGCTAAAAGCTACACAACACACATATAGTTAAAAGAGTTAGAGTATGCTTCAATTATAACAAGTAGTCAATAACTAATACAACAATTATAACAGGAAGTAACTTACCTCCATAGGAATACAGAAACCTGGAATCGGCCATAATACACCCTCTTTGACGCTTCCTCCAAAATGAGTCATCGTGTGCCAGATCTCGCCTAGCATGTGATCAACGGACAATCTGCCCCAAGGAAATGTCTGACACAACTCGAGATCATACACTGCTCTCTGGAAGAATTCTAACACGGGCGTAGCATCTGCTCTAATCTTTGTCTGCCCTATAACAATGCTGGATAAGAAGTAGAGGACAGCCATCTTCAACCTATCTCGACCAGAACCTATTTCCTCTAGCTTTTCCTTCACGTCTTGATGTCTGATTATTGATCGCTCAAAATGCCTCTTGACAAAGTCCATACTGCCCTCTCGCATATAATTGACTGGATGGTTGCGGCAGTCTAATCCTGACATCAAGGCGTGTTCCCTCAGCCCATAACGGATAGGAACGCCGTTGACGACAAACCAAGCTTCCTTCTCTTTCTCGATGCATGCTGTTCGAAGAAGTAGCATCCACATGCCCATAACCTTGTGATATTTGTCCCTTGGCAAGTGGAAAATGTGCTTGAATTGCGGATGGGTCTCAAACCATGACCTCTCTAAAGGTGAGAGCGGAGGCTTCAAATTGTCCAGCGTCGTTAAAGCTTCGTAGATGTAACACCTTGTCGATATCTTAATCTTCATCTCGGATTTCATAGGTTGTAGTGCTGTCAATTGCTCCTCGGAATCCTACAAAAACATTCAGTTGTACCAAGTTATTCCAGTATTATAAATAAAATCCGATTAGTTGTACCAAGTAATTTTAGTATTACAAATAAAATCCGATTAGTTGTATCAAGTAATTCCTAGTATTACAAATAAAATCCGACTAGTCATATATAGTTATACTAGTATTACAAATAAAATTTGATTAGTTTTAACTAGTTATACTAGTATTACTTAAACAACCACAAATCGTAGTAGTAGTTAAACTAGTATTACATGTAACAACCAAGTAGTTTTATTCAGCTATACTAGTATTACCTAGTTCTAGTATCATGTAGTTATACTAGTATTATTTAAACAACCACAAATCCTAGTATTATCTAGTTATACTAGTATTACATGTAACAACCGAGTAGTTTTATCTAATTATACTAGTATTACTTAACAAATCCTAGTATTACCTAGTTATGCTAATACTACATATAACAAGAACTTGTTTTACCTAGTTATACTAGTTTTCCCTAGTTCTACCTAACAAAAACAATTTAGTTCTACCTAACTATGAATCCAATCCAATGGAATCGAAATACTTACAAGACTTTCATCTTCCCCGTCCGCCGAGTTTTGTTCTCCCTCTCCGTGGTCTTCTTCTTCATTGGAGTTTTCTTCTTCATTGTCTTCTTCTTCATTGTCTTCTTCTTCATTGTCTTATTCTTCATTGACTTCTTCTTCATTGTCACTCTCTCCTTTCTCTCCTTCTTCTTGATTCTCGTTCTCATTTGAGACATGATCTCCTTCTTCTTCAGTCTCTTTGTCATCACTCTCTTCATTATCTTCTTCATGTCTCTTGTTAAGGGGAACCCTAGATCCTTCCCCCTCTTTGCCAATGGGAACCGTAGTTCATTCCCCCTCTTCTTCAATGGCATCAATCGGCGGATCTGAACTCCTTTAACCCTTCTCCACTTCAGCAATCGGCGGATTCACATCCTTAGCAATCTTCTTCTTCTTCCTCTTTCTTGTCCAATTTGTCTTGGCCATTGAATCAGCGGACTGAGTTCAAGAGAGAGGTTTTTGTAAGAAACTGAGAGGAGGTTCGAACCGAGATTTATGAGGGAGAGAGTTCGACGATTTTGGAGCAGTTTGAGTTTGAGGGAGTGCGAAAGTTTCCGGTGATTTCGGTTTAGGAGGTTATGGATTTTTAGTTTTGGGTTAGGGGTTGTAGATTTTTAGTTTTCGGGTTAGAGGTTAGATCCGATTTTAGTTTGGTGGACGGGTAGAACCCAGGTATAATTGTAAATCTTGTTAATTGAGTAGGTTTTTAGGTAATTTTAATGGTTTTGGAATTAAAATTAATTGAAAATGAAATAAAATTAAAAGGGAGATATTTCAGATTTCGGTTTTAGATGGAGGATCATCTGAGATTAAAACTCCAAGAGAAAAAATAAAACCGGACTTAATAATAACACCAAACCCGAAACTTCCGATAACCAAACACACAACAACAAACTGCATGTCCTGAAAGACAACCAAACTAAAGTGGAGCAAAAGTTAGCAAGAAATTCTTAAGTAATCTGGAGAAAAAAACTAGATTTTGTCCAGTAAATAAGTCGATTATACAGATAAATTTTCAGTGTTACAGCATAATCATAGCAAAATGTACTAACAAAGAATCTGCAACAAAAATATCCATAAAAATGAATCGGAGACCATAAAATCTAAACCTTTCTCCCGGAATTGAGTCCGAAGATGAACCGCGAAGAAGCTTGAGGCCACAAAAAAATCCCAAATCACAAGCAACAAATTCACAAGTCTCACATGAAAACCCCCTTCTTGCTGGTGATCAGAGAAAGAACAGAAGGGTGTGATTGGTTCTGAATTGAGATTGCTTCTTCATAGTTATCAGAAGAGAGAGGATCTGTGGAGATTTCAGAGAAAGGGTCTCTCGAGATTTTGGAAGAGAGAGTCGAGGCAGAGAGAAGAATTTTTATTTTTTTAAGAGCATGTGTATTAGTGAGCTTTTGAGAGATTCTAAAGAAAAAAGAAAAAAGAAAAAAAAAATTAATGATGTGGCAAGAGAATCGACTCTCTGAGTAGAGATAGTAGGATCGGCTCTCAGAGGACTTCTGATGACGTGGCAAAATGTCATTTATCAATTTTTTTTTTAAATCGATTTTTTTAATAATAAATTTTGTTTAAGAAGCTTCTCCATCATGATATCTCCATTGCTGATGCCCTAAACTAGTCGACCAATCACGGACTGGCACATAGTGAGTTCTTAACAAATAGTTAAAAACCGATTCTTAGCAATTTAACACATTAATGAATTATTTTTTAATATTTTAACTTAAGAAACTGTTAAGAACTGCTAATGGAACTGCTCTAAGAGCATCCTCAACAGTGAAGATCTCAAAAATAAAGTTTTCAATAAAAAAATATTACTATTTAAATATGATATATCTTATATAATTAAATTTTAATTTTTAAAAGAAATAAACTACTTAAAAAGAGGACAAGTGTTTTAATGGTATTTCATATATTAAGAACCGATTCTGATATGAGAGATCTTACATTTTGAATATATTTTTTTTATTAATGATGAGATACTTTAGTGAAAACTTCCCAATAGAGTTGCTCTAACATCCAAAGAAACTATAGTTTTTATAAGAGCATCAATGGAGAGATAGCGATAAAAAGTTCTTAAAAAAATTATTATTAAAAAAATTCGATTTTTTTTTAAAATTTTTTTTGTCAAATCATGTTTCACCACATCATTGGAGAAACGCTCCTACAGCCTATGTGCACAGAGAATTGATTCTCTCCTTAGTCTTGCCACGTTCTTGTTTATTTTTTTTTCTTTTTTTTTCAGTTTAGAACCCCTTAAAATCTGACCGATGCTCTAAATGATTGCTGCCTATATTAACGCATTTCTTGTGTGATATGAATACTAAAAATAAATAGAGTATATTTCTCACACTAGTCTATCTAAGTCCATAAATTATACATACATTCACAAAGAATCGCATCTTGAATATGTAATCGTATTGACCTTAACAAAGCAAGTTCTTTTATCATTCCATGTAAGTAGTACCCTAAAACAATGAAGGATCATAAAAGACACAGAGAACTTGGTGAGGATCATAAAAGACACAGAGAACTTGGTGATCACATGTATCAGACTAGCTACTTATATTCTTGGTTCCTCTACAATTCAAAAACTTATGATAACATTTTAGGACACCATCTCTCTATTACACCAGACCATAGCTGAATATATATGTCTCGGTTTAAGAATAAAAATGTAGTCTTCAACAATTTCAAGAATAAGTCTCCAATCCAAACTTTACCTGTCATAGGATGAAACAATCATCTTTAACTTAATGATGCTTTTTTTGTTTGTTTGTAACTCCACTCATCTCCACAGATGAAACTGAACTAAATTCAACTATTCAAGAAACACAAGTAAAAGAAAAAGAGAACAGATGAAAAAATTAATGTGTATTAAGTTAGAATTTCCATTAAAAACGAGCATGTAACAACCCTGAAATTCATAACAACAATATTAGCAACATAAACTTGAACTCCATGACTTTTAGATGGAACAAAGGCGAGGACAAGATGGGACATATACACTTTTGAAAGGATCCGTATGACAAAGTTGGAGATTACTCAAATACAGTACGAAACCATTACATTCAAAACGACCCTCAGATGGAAAGTTAATGCGTGGGCGTCACTAAAGCCAAGAACCAAAATATTTGTTCAATCGAGATTTAAAAGAATGAGATAAAATTAATCGACAGAGTGAGGAACAACTTGTAAACATCTGAGCAAAAACCTTACTTACTGCAATAAAACTAGAGATGTAGATAGAGAAATGCAGTTAAGATGATACAAAACTTTAGTGCAAATACACATCAAAACTTACAAAGCCTAAAAGCATTTCTACAAAAGACTCCAAACAATACTTTTCAATGCTGGATGTCTTTGTGATATATCAAAACAGACTTCACAAGTGGTACGCCTGCCCACTAGAATTACTTCACACAAGGCTAACATGTCTTTAACTAAAGATTCAAAGGAGAAAATTTCTCAACTTTTACCGTCCGTGTCCATGGACAATCGAGTGAGTGACAAATGTAGAGTCGTTGGCTGAGGAAGAAGAGTAAAAAGACGCTGACAAGTTCCTAGTAATCAGCGGGGTAAAGGAACCGTACCAGGAGAATCTGGGGAGACATCAGGCAGCTTTAGGCTTTCATTTAAGTACTGCACCACTTCTTCCATTGAAGGTCTCAGTTCAGCCACAGCATTTGTGCAAAGCAACCCAAGTTTCAACACCATTTCCACTTCCTCAGCTGAGATCTCACCTCTCATTCTCGGGTCTCTAGCTCCTAGCAAAGAAGCCATTTTCCAACATTGGCATACCCACTGAAGCAAATACCGTCTTTCACCTGGCAACTCAGGCTCAACGGGTCTCCTCCCACATGTCACTTCAAGTAAAAACGCACCAAAGCCATAAACGTCTGTTGCAGTGGAAGCTCCTCCCATTGTAACAAGCTCCGGTGCCATGTACCCAATGGTTCCCACGGCTGCAGTTGTAGCAGGGTCTGCCCCATGATCGTAAAACCTTGCCATGTCAAAATCCCCCAACCTTCCATTAAATTCAGCGTCTAACATAACATTAGAAGCTTTGATATCTCTGTGGAGAACAACTTGTGGAGCTCCTGTATGCATGTAATTGAGAGCTGAAGCTATATCTTTGATGGTTATAAGTTTTCGACGCCATGAGAAGGGCGGTTTTTCGTCATGGAACAAGTATTGGTCAAGACTACCATTGTGCATGTATTCAGAGACCAGAAGCAACTCACCTTTTCTTCTACAGTACCCAAGAAGTGGAACCATGTTCTTGTGCTTCAGATTACCCATGCTCACGATTTCAGCCACAAACTGCTTCATCCCTTACTCTGCATCGTGGGACACTCTTTTCACCGCTATTTGTTCATTGGAAGGCAGAGTTCCTCCGTACACTTCTCCAAAACCTCCTTTCCCAAGAAGTCCATCTTTGTTAAACCCTTTTGTTGCATTGTACAGAGCTTTATAGGAAAAACGGTGTGGACCATATTCTTTTTCCCATTCCTCTCTTATTTCTGCATATTTCCTTCTCCTGTAGACATAAGCTGCTCCAAGAGCCAAAAACACTAAGGCCGCCAGTAATATGAGCAGAACAATAAGCAGCGTTGATAATTTCTCGTTTTTAGATCTATGACGAGGAACTCGAGGAAGATTAGTAACATCCAAAGCCTGCAATGACACTGTGCTTCTGCTTAAACTCCACCCTAATATGTATTGGTAGCTGATCAATGTCCCCGTAGCCCCAGAGAACCCAAGAAACATCTTTTTATCTGGAAAAGATTCTGAAAGGTTGATAGATCTTGACAAAAGAGGCTTACTTGGCTTGTGAGTTTTACGAGGGGCCAGTGAAACATTAAGTACATTTCCTTCATAGTCCACCCATACTTGTATAGGATCTCCACTCAAAAGCTGTATGCTTTCGTTTTTACCTTTGATCTCAGAAAAGTAAGCAGCAGGAGAAGATGTGATAGACATAAGGCCATTGACATCGATACCAACATGATTAGCATTGATGTCATCAAACTCAGCGCTGAGGGCAGTATCTAGCTCAACAGCGACTATATGAGAAGAAGAGGATCCTTGAGTCGAGATGTTGAACAGTCCCAAGAACTGTGTCGCGTCTGCATTCGTGAGATCCATGGAGGCAGATAAAACAAAGGCAATACCATGACCACCAATAAATCCTGGCTTTGGCACCAAAGCACAGACAAAATGCGTTGAGAAAGAGAGTGATTCAGGTGAAGTGAACTCAAATGGCTTCTTGAAGAAAGCATGACCCATTCGCTGTCCTGATCCAACTGCAACTGTCCTTTGGGAAGAACTTTGGCAACCCCATCGGTATAAAGGTCTGCTTGGCGAAAGCCGTTATAGATAAAACCTGTCTCCTGTTGACTTGAGATGCAAATCAGATGAACATATAAGATCATCCAGATCAGATGCAATTTTTGAGCCATTTGTAACAGAAACAGAGAATCTGACTATCCTGAAGGAATCTTGTGTTCTGCAACAATGGGGGATGATAATTTCTCCAGCTGTAAAACAAAAACAAGTCAGAACTTTCATGTATAAATTTTTGTCAAGACAATGCAAACAGTATTTGTCTGAGCATTTCAGAGTTGACTAAGAGAAATGTAATGAATGGTATTATTACTAGACAACAATGACATGCCGCATTTGCATATTTTTAGCCCATCACAAGTAAAATATTAAACTATAAAGGTGGCTCTAATAAAATAAAAAACTGAGAACTTCTCTATCATTCCCTGGTTTAAGGATATACTTACCAACAGATAAACATTTCAAAGTTCAAGAAAACAGTTAACAGTCATCTATAGTCTAGTTAGAAAAAAGGATCAGGAAATGTACCAAAACTAATATAAAATTCATACCAAGCTGAACCTAAAAGTAAGTTCATCATTCGAAAGCTTCCTAAAGTATACTAGGCTCAATTGTCACATATATATCATCTAACCAAATAATAATAAGCTAGAGATAATCACTTATCAGACAGAAACTTCATGACAATATATACTTGAAGATCACGTACGTGGTAGCAATCGAAAATGAGTTGAATTTGGCAAGCAGGACGCGTGCAACACAGTTGCTACATTGTGAGAAAAGATGAATCAATATATAACACACAAACTCAGGAGTTTTCTAGCTAGGAATTGCTCAAGCACACAAGTGAAACATTGAAAAGTCAGTGGAAAGCAAATATTTGTCGAGAACAATGCAAACAATTTTATGTCTGAGACATTCCAGAGTTGACTTAGGCAAATGTAAATAGTTTAAAGAAAGACTGAGAAGATGCGAGTTTCAGGAATAGACAGGAGCAGAATACAAGACCTTAACGCTGAATGACTCTGAGAAGGGATCAACTTTGTAAACAGCACCTGACCACTCAAGCTTGCCCAAACCTCGCCTCCTTCGCGTCTCTCCAAGGAAAACTCAGCAGCGCGAAGCACCAAACTCTGCGAGGTCCAAAAGATGACAATGTTCCCAGCAGAGTTGCAGCAGAGTTTGCTGATATCATACTTGACCTTGGTTTTGCGTCTCCAACCACAGAGAAGAGAGTCTTGCAGATTTTCTAAACCCTTCACTTCTTTCCAGTCCAACTCATCTGGCTCACACCACAGTATCCTCCCGCGTGTACCGCGACAGTACAGCAACTTCCCTATGGCACACCAATCGTTTCTGTTTCCTGGCTTAGTCTCTCTTCTTCCCCTTGTCCAGGATTTACATTCACTTGGCGACAAGTAGAAGCTTTGACCCTCCTCATCCACGGCGTAAACCTTCTTCTCCTCTATAACCTCACTCTGGTGGATGATACTCTGTGGCATCTCCGGCGTAGTATAGTTAAGCCAAGTTTGTGTCTTTGGATCAAAAACCTCTGCCCAGTTTGAGGAATCAGCGCACCCTCCAACCACGTATATCTTCCCGTCGACAAGGCTTGCGGATGCGGAAGCACGAGCCATGTTCATGGACGGGACTTGACGCCATGTGTGAGAGAAACAGTCGAGGAACCAGACATCGGAAGTGGGATCACCGTCGACGAGTCCACCGATTACGTAGATCCCCCAATCAACTGCCACGAAAGAGGATGAATCCGGAGCCTGACAGGGGTTCGATGGGATCGGCCTCAGCCGCCGCCGCCGCCGAGCACCGGTGAGGACGAACCATTGAGTAGTTGGGTCAGGAGAGACGCGCAAGCATACGTAGAAAGATGCCTCGGCGCAACCGATCAGCGTCCGCGCGTGGCAGAGCTCAGGGGAAGCTACGAGGGAGCGGTGTCTCTTGGAGACGAGAGATACCGCTTTGTAGTCTGATTTCGAGACGCGAGCCAAGCAACTTACAGCCACCGCGTCTGGCAACGACGACCACGACGGAGACGCAGCCTTCTTTGTCTTCTTCCTCCTTTTACTATTGTAATTGTACATCATCGTCTCCTCTCTTATCGCAGATCTCATCAACGATTTGATTGATTGAAATCATTATATATATATTTTTTCCTTTTTCCTTTTCAAAACGAATTAGGATTTTATTAGAAACGTTATTTCATTTTTCCTCTTTTAATTTCTCGATTTGTATATCTTGTGGTACTGTGTCTATTTTTGGGGAACATAATTTAAAACTTGTACCGACTTTATATCTGATTAAATAAAACCGTAACCGAACTTCAACCAAACAAAACCAAACCAACACATAATCATCTCAATTCGGACCACAACCTGAGAAAAACTCCGCGATAAATTTGGTTCATATTAAGAACAAAAAGGCCATTCTTTCATTCACTTTAACCTCGGATCTTGAGCATCCATACTATTAAAACAAGAACACTTAAATGTTTAAACATAAATCATATGTTATATTACATAAAATACCATTGTATTTTAACTTTCTCCTTATAGTTTAGTCATTTGTTAATACAAGCAATTAATTTTCATTTTCTTTTTTCTTTTTTTTTAATTCTTATATACCTATTACCAAACACATTAATTTTCAGATATTATTTAGATTAGTTTAATTCAAATTACCAAACACATTTAAATAATTTAAATATTTTCATAAATAATTATTTCAAAAATTCTAATTAATCTTAAAATTAATTACATCTAAATTATATAAAACAAACTATGTATGTATAAGATAAATTATAAATATTTATACATATAAAACATTTAGCAAAAAGAAATATAGCAAAAACATATTTTTCATATATAGACCAAACAAATATGTTTATAAACAAATAACAATCTATTATAATGCAACAATATAATAGGACAAACAAATATATTTATAAGCAAATAACAATTATGATTGCTATAAATATATCTAATAAAATTATATAAATTCACACAATATAAAAGATATTGCAAAAAAAAATATTACAAAAACAATAATCATATTCTTATTATTATGCAATAATATAATAAGTTAAATACATATGTTTGTAGGCAAATAAATTAAGAAATACGGAGAAGATGAAAAAAAAAACAGAAAAAAGGGAGAAGAATGAGAAAGGATGAAGAAGAAGAAGACATGAAAGAATAGAAAAATAAGAAGAAGGGACAAAGAAAAAAGAGGGGATGAAGGAGAATATCGAATAACATAGAAGAAATGATGGAGGAGAAGACGAATGAGTAACAAGTGTCGTTAGCTCAACTGGTAAATGATCATAGAAAAAACTTAGGGGTCACTTGATCGAGTGACGCTTGGGACAAAAATAATATTACATGATGTGATTTCGAGCTTGGAGAGATTGCAGGCTTCAGTCTAGCACATCTTGGTAATCCAAAAAAGAAAAAAAAGATGGAGAAAAAAAGAGAATAAGAAAAACGAAGGAGAAAAAAGGAGAATGAGAAGAACAAAAATAGATGAATGAGGAGAAGAAGAAGAAGAAGGGATTAAGAAGAAAGAGAAAAAATAGGAGAATAAAGAGAAGAGATGAATGAGAATAAGAGCGGATGAAAAAGAATAACAACGGAGAGGAAGAAAGAGAAAAAAAAGAGAAGAAAAGGTGAAGAAGGATAAGTAGTGATGAAGAAGGAATAGGAACGAAGGAGCAGAAAGGATGATGAAGAAGAAATAAAACAAAGGAGAAGTGATGAAGAAGAACCACAGAGAAGATGAAAAACAGCAGAGAAGATGAAAAAGTAACGAAAAAATAAAACCAAATACGAAAATATTAGCCCAAGCAAAGGAAAAAGAAGGAGAAAAAGTAACAGAAAAGGGAAAATAGAAAGAAAAAGAACAAAAATATACAACTAACTAATATATACTCTTATTCATATAACTGAATTATAAAAAGAATTAAGATGTCAAAAATTAAATTCTTCTTTCAATTAAATTGCCCAACAAATAAATATAGAAGTTGGGTTTAGAAAATAACAGTAAAAGAAAATATGAGCAAATTAGTTAATATGGTTAGATTATTTTTTAGAAAATAAAAAAAAAGAATGGAAAAGAACATAGAAAAAAGGAAAGGAACACATTAGATGAAGAAATAAAAGAACCGAGAAGAAGAGAAGAATATAGAAAAAAAAGAAGATGAAAGAAACAAAAAACGGAAAAAAGAAAAATATATACATGAAGAAAATGAAGGATAGAGAAGAATAAGAAAAAAAGATAAAGGAGAAGAAAAACGAAGAAACAAGAACAACATACAGAAAAAAGAAGAACACATAAGAAGAATGATGAAGAAGAGGAAGAAGAAAAAGACGGAGAAGAAGAAAAAGAATAGAGAAAAAAAAAAGAACGGAGAAAAAGAAAAACAGAGTATAAAAACAAAGAATAGAAATGAGAAGGAGAAAAAAAAACTAAATACAATATTAAAAATATATAAATTTTTACAATAACAACTCGCATATTTACAATTACAACGTATTTGAATAAATGTATTACACGTAATTTATGTTATTCTATTTTCAACTTAATATTTTTATACCTAAAAAAATAATTTAATTCTCATAACACAAAAATAATCTATTATTAATATAACAGTAAAATAAACACATTATAAACCTTATACTCATAGCATATTTTGTAAACTGAATAATTTTATTTTAAAAAACTTTATTCCCACGTAAATGCGCATACATTTGCGTAGTCGATAATTATCTCGATCAGTACAAAATATAATTTATTAAAAATAAATCACAAATTTTTTGTTCATCTAATTTAAAATATTTGACAAATATATTTTGAGTGTTAGAAAAAATATTTAACTACTCATAATTATATATACAAATGATAAATAACTATACTTATTTACTTGAAAATTTACTTTATTTAATTATTAAAATAACATAATTTATATAATAATCCATCTTATACCATATAATTTGAATCTTATACCATATAATTTGAATATACCTGCGCGCGCGCGTCCAAGCTTAAAATGTCAACGTTTTCAAGCATTAAACTAAACACCGAAACAAAAGTCTGGATCAGTTCATAAAAAAACCCACAAAATCCGCAAAAACAAAAACCATAAACTGGTCTTTTTGATTCTTAAACTGTTACCGACACTTACTCCTAATAAGCTACTACCTAAAACCCTTTCACACAACACAGAAACAATCATCTCCTAGGATTCACATTCCTTTCACGGATTATGTTGCGCTCATCCCAAATCGGGCACGTACATGTTGCTTTCTTATTCTTCCATTCAGCTCCACAAGTGTAACAAAACTCGTATCCGCATCTTCAAGCCACAAACCAAAACACATTAGAATCAGCAATAGCAACAAATGATCAAACATTGTCTCTCTCTTATGTACAAGCAAAAGTACCTGCAGGTTATATGGTAGCATCCCCAAACAAGCTCAACTAGATTGTTACACTTTATGCATTGTCTCCACCTCTTGCTCTGAGCCAGAGACTTCAACATGCCATCTCCAGCGTTCTGATATCCCTTCGATCTACGAAACTCCTCGCAGGTGATACCATAGTGCCATGGTACTTTGCACTGCATGCAGAAGAAATGCCCACATTTCATGCATTTTCTCGCACCGGATCGCTCAGCGCCAACGAAGAACTGTTTTGTATACTCCAAGACTTCAGCTTTCACCATCAATTCTGAGCATTTTGGATATGGACAGTACACTTTATCAGTAACACTAATGGAGCCTTCTTTCTTGCGTTGGATCATAACGTCGACAAGCTTAGGATCCAGAAACTTTGCGCAGCACTCGATCTTTACTTCTGATTTGCACCCGTCGCTAGGACAGCTAGCTGTTTGCCCTCCGAGTAGTTTCACTTCGACGTGCTGCTTCATGCAGGAAAAGCAGAAACGGTGGAAACATCCGTCTACCGAGAACATTTTGTCGACGATGATGCCTTCGTAGCAGATGACACAAGTCTCCTTGAAAGTCTTCCCTTCGCTTGTTTCCTCAGGCCATTTGATTTGGGAAACGATCGCGTCTCTTGCGAGCTTGAACACAAACTTGACATCGTTTCTTGTCAAAAGAGATGGTTGGCAATATGAGAACTTGTTCTGGAGAAGAGCCACTTGGTTCACAAGTGTTGCAACAACGCTCTGCCTTGGTTCCACCCTGCCTGTGACCTGTATTACAGAGCAAAGCCAATCAAAGGTTAATACTTTCTTTCGATAAAAGGTGAAGGAACCGAAAGTAAACTAGAGCTCGAAGATTCTAGTTAGAAGATTTGGATATGAAGATGTTTAGGTGTAAGAATGCAGAGCCATCGCAAAGAAGCTACACAATGTAGTAACAAAGAGGAGTTATTGGCGTGAAGTATTGCAAACAAACAAACAAAAAACAGAAAAGAACAATACTGTAAAAACGCCAAATCAGTAACTAAAAGGAGTAAAAACTCTTGAAGATCAAGAGATGATATATACTCACAGGTCACAATCATTCACAGATTCAAATTCTTTGTCAAAGAAAAACGCGGCCCTTCCCAAATCAAAGGCCAAAGCTTCATTCAACTCATGATTGATGATCAGATACCATAATCTATATACAGGTTAGATGATTTGGAAATGAATATGTATGTAAGAATGCAAAGCCATAGTCATTAACATTGTAGTAACGAAAATGAGTCCTAAGTGTTAGGTATTGCGAAAAAAAAAAGGAGTAAACTTTTTTAAGATCAAGAGTTTGATATCCTCACAAGTCACAATCATTCAGAAATTCAACTGCTTTGTCACTGTGAAATCTAATCTCTGAGTAAAATTTTGAGTTTTCAGGTAGAGATATAAACTCACGTAATTGAAGATCTTGAAATCATCAATGAAAAAAGTAACCCTTCCCAAATCAAAGGTCAAAGCTTCATCCAACCCATGAACAATCGCCTCCAGTTCTGCAATCTCTGGGCTTTTAGACTCTTCCCCTCCCAAAACCTTCTTCACCTCCCAAATCAGATTATTCGCCGAGTCACAAATCGCCACACCAACACCACCGACAACTGCTCTCGCTTCTCCGATCATCTCTTCACTCACTAAACCTTTACAATAGACCCGGAAGCTCTCATCCCCAATCGCTGAGACGGAGAACGGAGGGACATTGGCGACGGAGGAGGAGGAAGAAGAAGCTCCGAGTGAGTAAGGTTTTTGGAAATAGTCACCGTCTTTGCTCCAATCTGCGTCTGGGATGCTCATAATCTCTTTAGCAAACTTCTGATCGTGGATCCGACGGTCGAGATCCACTTTAAGTCTCTTCATCTCTTTTTTGCCAAACTCGCGGTCTTGCATCTCCTGGTCGACTCGGGCAATGTCCTGTAGAATGAGAGAAGTGAAGTCGAATTCGTCCTCACCAGCATCTCCGCCAGTGAAATTGACTGTCGCGTCGTCGGAAGGAGATCCCGGGGATGATGTGAGCGATGCTCGAGAAGCGGCTAGGGCTTCCTGCAACTGAAGATTGAAAGCCAGATCGTGGTCGCGGGCTAGGGCTTTAGCCGCCATGATCTCTTCACGCTGTTCTTCCAGTATCACCGTGACTTCGTCAGCTTCAGTCGTCGCCATTAGAGTTTCTTTCTCAGTTTTGTTCCCCGGAGAGCGAGTGGCGGTTACCGTGGTTGAGAAGGAAAGTGGAAGCGTTCCGAGAAAGATTTGACTGACAATGGTCTTCGTTTGTTTATTCCTTTTGAAGATAAATAACAAAGAAAGTCAGATTTTATTGAAATTTTTATATTATCGTGGAATTTACAATTTTAGAATATGCTTTTGGGATGAAACAACTCTGTCTCTCTCTCTACTGTTTAAAAAATGAAGTAAATCATATTTACAGAAATCAAAAAGATAATTTTTGACTAAAGGTTAAAAAAATTAATATTTTACATCCTAAAACCCTAAAATTAAACAAAAGAACCTTCGAAAAAACTGTCATTTAAATTCTCAACTTTCAAATTTCGATTTTTTAAATCTCCAACTCTCAAAACGAATAATAAACAATAAACTTTTTTGGATAACTACGTTTAAAATCCCAAAATTATATTAATTCGGTTAATTTAGTTACATCGTTATTTCGACTAACAGATTAATTTAACCCCGCTAATATTCTGTAAACTTGTCGTTAAGACAATACAATGATGGTCTGAAAACCCAAAAATCTCCAATTCGACTTCTAAATCTCTAACTCTATCTCTCTCTCTCTCGATTCCTCTCTCTCTTTCTTAATTCCTTCAATTCCACTTTCCTTCTTTCTCCATTGATACATCAATTGTCTCCTCTTTTAATTGGAACACTACAAGAATGGAGTAGCATAGCTACAAAATTTATTACATCAATAAATTATAACAAATTTTTTTTACAAATTGTTACAAATTTGTGACATTTTTAAAATTTTTATTTTTATAACAAATTAGTAGAAATCTGTAGCCAATTAGAGACAAATTAGAAATAAATTAGATGTTGTCGTATATGTGCTACAACTTTGTCACACGGTAATTGTAACAATATTTAACACCGTAAAAAAATTATTATCATTTTTTTACCAAATTATGATGAAAAAATGGTAAAAAAAATGATAATTTTTTTTCTATAAATCAATATTGTCAAAAAATGATCAAATATTTCTTACCATTTTCTTATTTAATTAATTTTAGAAGTAGTTTAATAAGAAAAACTGATTAAAAATGTTTGATCACTAAAACGTAAAAAATCGTTAAAAAACTCCTACCACTTTTTTACGAAACTGTATTTGTAGATTAATAAATAATAATTTTAAATATAAAATATTGTGGTAGGAAATTGATACCATTACTTTACCAAATTGAGACGAAAGAAAGAAAAAAAAACATTGCCTAAATGAAAGAGAAAGAGAGACGGTACTTGGAAGCAATGACTGAGTCGTTCACCTACTCTCTCATTCAAACTTCATCTTCTTCGTATAAACTATTTATTAAATTTCGTATAAACTATTTATTAAATTTGGTGCATCTTCTCCTCCCTCTATCTAGTCGTCTCCGTTTTAATCCGCCGCCGTCTCCGTTTTATATGGCTAAACCGTCTCTTCCCACCCTCCTCCACGTCAAGTTCCCCCGACCCAGCTAACCCAAACCCTAACTCACCTCCGATTCATCTCGTGATTTTGATACCAGGTCAGATTTGAAATCTCTAAGTGGCTGTATTTCTTCTCTTTCTTAATTATAGCTCGATTCGAGTTCTTTGCTAGTAGATCTGGCCGTTGTTTCTTTTTTTTTTCGGCTCAGATCTGTTCGCTTATCCGAGGCTCGATTCACCTGCTTTAATTTTCCCTTGCAATTTTAGGTTTCTTCACTGTGTTTTAGGTTTCTTGTCGTCGCTGCATTATGAATTAGGTTTTGATATGGTTGCTAATTTCGGCGATTTGAGTCGCTTTAGCCCATATCTTTGTTTTATATTTAAATTATTTTATTTCCATCGCGGAGATTGTAACAAGGGAACCGCCGTCGCCGGATCTGGTAGTGTGCGTCTCGACGAAGTGGACGAAGAATTACTTCCCGATCATAGAAAGGAGTTTCTCTGTACATAAGATTTACCCTCGATTTTTTTTAATCTGAAGGGTCGGTTTGCTTTTTCTTTTGGTGGTGGATTTACCTTTCCTCCTCCTTCGACAGTTTCTACTTAGGATTTCAAACCACGAGGAAGAAGCTCGATACTCGGTTCCCAGCTGTAAGTATTCTGTCTCAAATTGGTTATCTCGGGGATTGAAGTACATTTTTTTCGAAATTACTTGATCTGTTGTTTTTGGATCGAATTTTTAACACTGTTCAGTCTAAATCATGTGTTCTTAGATGAATTTTAGATTAAGTATCTCATTTCCGCCGAATTAGTCTTACCATATGACCTAGCAATCAGTTTCCCCTGTATTTTTGTGCGTGGTTGTTACAGCTTTAGTGATATGTACCGTCAAGATCCGCTATGGAATGTTTCATGTAAACTGCTGAATCTCTTGATTCTGGGAACTTTCAGCTATTGGTGTATTGCATAGGTTAGATAGTTATGATACTGGATTATAGTCTTTGGGATATTGTATAGGAATTGCTTTTCACTTAATTGGAACTTTCAGTTTATTACCACTTTCGTTGTATGATTGCCTCGAACGATTTCGTAAGTTAAGAGTGTTAATGTATTATGATGTTTATATAAAATGACCGAGCACACTTAGTGTTTCTCATTTTCGCCATTTGTTCTATGATTCGCTTAGCGGAGCAGTGTTTCTTGTCACTTACGATTGTGTGTTTGTTTTGATGCGCAATTTTCAGGCTCGTATTAAAAAAATTATGCAAGCTGATGAGGATGATTATGCAAGAGAGACGGCACTTGGAAGCAATGGTCGAGGCTAGATGCGGTGGCGTTTGTGAAGCTGTGTTCTGACAACCGCCAGTTGCCGTGGAAGGAAGTAGTCACCACCGGAAGATCTCTTTCCCAATTTAGGATTTATTTTTGGATTTCTTTTAGGCGGCGGCTCATGTTTAGAATTTCAGTAGTTTGGTTTGTTTTGTTCTGGTTTTTCTCGGTAAACCAAACCGAATAGTTGGTATAAAATAAAATTTCAATTAATTTTTTTTGTTGCAATAAAATATTTTATTTAAATTTATAATTGATATTAATTTTGTAATTATAAATTTTAGAAATGATCTAATTTTTAAAATTAATTTAAATAATGTAGTTGTAGTTATTGTTGTGGATATTTGTAGTGACTTATCCACAATTTGTTAGTGGCTTTTTTGTAACAAATAGCTATTAATATCTTGGTTACTAAATTGTAGCTAATTTATCAGCAAATTTGATTCAAATTATCATAAAGTTTTTTTTTTCTAATTTGTAGCAAATTTGCTTCAGATTGTTACAATATTGTATTTGCTACAATTATATAGTTACGGAAATAAAACAGAAACAAATTTGTAGCAACTTAAAAATAGCTACAGATTTATTTACATAGTTACAAAAAAAAGTGTAACTATGTTGCTTGATTCTTGTAGTGGAAATCTCCATTTGCTTTTGTCGATTTCTCCTTCTTGTGTTGGCTTTAGTTTAGTTTTAAGGTTTTGTATTGAATTGTGTCGGTTTTAGCTTTGAATTCGATTTTAAGATTTTGTAACAATAATGTTAAACTATTGAATCAGGTAGGAGAGACAAAAAGAGTTTCACAGCCACAAGTTTTACAATCACAAGGACTTTTAAAAGCACAAGCACAAGAAGAATCACAAAGACAAAGAGGTATTTTGTATCAACCACGAGTTTTGAGAGCTCATTTAAACCGCCAACATGTAATATAATCTCACCTTATTTAAACACATACAAATGTAACTCTAACAAGATGCATTTCATTACAAAATGACGTAAGCATGGATGCTTATACACCTGAACCTGACCAGAGACGGGACAAAGAAGCTTACCCGGATGATGCTAAGCTTGTAGCTGAGAGGAAAGGAGGCTTTGTAGCTACGGATGGAGCAGCTAAAGACTTAGCCATGAAGCACCATCGTTCTATACACTAGAAGGGACGTTTTGGTCGAGCTAATTACCCACTGATTCGAATCAAATCTCAAGATATTAGAGCTAAACTGCCGAAGCTAACCAATGAGCCGTTTATGGAAACCTCGCATATATATTCACCTAATATATTATGCAACCGAACCTCATCATTTACTGAAGCTAATCAACGTCCGAAACCACCAGAAGAAGTCATTATACAAGCTGGAAACCGGAGCCAAACCAAAGGAGAATCATCAAATCTACTCAAATCGCCAAATCAACCCATTGGAGCATTATTGGAGTCAACTATGGAAATATCAGATTTATATCCTATGAAGACATCATTCAACCGTCCCTTGAAGATTATTGAAGCTATGAAGACCCCTAAACCGCCAGACCAAGTCATTAGCCGAGCTTAAACCAGCAAAAACCGAGAAGATATCAAATGAGAGCTACTTACCAAAGATGGAACCAACTTTATTGGTTCAAGGAGAAAGCAAGGAAAGAAGGCCCAACGACTACATCAGCCAATCAATCTCGACCCTTCATCATCATCAGAAGATTCAGGACATTCATTTCGTGCCAAAGACCATCAAGACTTCCCCCATTTAGCGCCAAAGACAAGGATCCTCCCATTTAAGCCTAACGGCTAGTTGAAGATTATTCTTGATCTTTGCTTTATTTTTATCATTAGTTACCGTTTGTTTACATTAATTTCGAGCTCTATATAAAGCTCAAGCATTGTATTATTCAAGTTACCCAAGTTATTAATCAGAAAAGTATTATTTTATTTTCTAAAGAAAGGTTTCTTTTGAATACATTGTTCCTGCGAATTGTTTAGTTCTTTGAGGGATTCAGAGAGCTTACCAAATCGTGTAGAGTCTAAACACTTCTTGTGAGGATTAGCCATTGAAGAGGTAAGACTCTAACCCTTGTGTTTGGGGTCATCAAATACACCGACTTTCCAATCATTCAGTCATTCATCCGCCCTTAAGCTTCAAAGCAACGATTTCAAAGTCAGCAATCCTTGAAGCATTTTGAGGCTTGTGTCATTGGTATCAGAGCTAAAAGCTCATATCCAGGTGTATTCATGGGCGAATCCAAGCCATAATTTGATCGGGTGCACCAATAATAAAATAATAAATAAATAATATAATAAAAAGTATTAATAAAAAATATAATATTCTATAAATGAATTCTACGTTCATTGATTGATTGGAATCGGTTCATCACTTTTTCATTTGTGACATCATCAAAAAATTTCTTTTCAATAAAACAAATAAGATAATCAC